AAAAATGACTAAATGGTAGCTTAAGTATTTTTTTTTCTTTTTAAATCAGAATATGTTTTAATGACAATATGAAAATAAAAAATTGAGGAAATGAAGGGGAGACTAAAAAAGGTGCTGGCTACCTTTTAAAATTCATATATACTTTTATCATATAATTAATGGCATATATGATGTGTAATTATTTTTAAGCATGTATGTACAACATCAATTTAAAATTAAAATCTTATTTTGATTATACAAAAAATTTTATTTATTAGTATTAAATTTAAAAAAAATATATATTAATAAATAATATAGCAGCAAAGTTTATTTTATGATAATTATGAAAAATTAAAAAATAAATACACTTATTTGAATCAAATATATATGAAAATAAATACAAAAATAATTCTAAATAGCATAATAGAGCTATAATTTATACACTTGATTAAGTCATTTAAATATGACTAAACAGCAGGATTTGAAGAAGAGCAATTACTTTCTATGCAAGAATAAGTCTTACTTTAAATTTAATCGTTTTAAATTGCACAATTCTATTTGCATTTAATTAAAGATACAAGAGCAGTATAGCAATCTGTTTCACCTTTTTTACAAATTTCTCCTTACTCCATTTTTAAGGTCAGATCTTTTGCACATTGTGGTGTTTTATCAATAGCATTTATAGAGTCTAAAATAAGAATGAATAACAAAATATATACTTATTTCATTTATTGTTTTTTTCCTAATGTATTTTAATTTTTAATTTATTTAAATTGTTAATGAAAAAATTATTTATTTTTAATCTAAACACTTTTATAATTAATTAGACGGAAATTACGATTATTGAAAGCCTGAAGATAAAATTTGATTGCTTTTATTCTCATAATTAATAATTAAAATACAATAGATAAATCTTGTAATCAACACAAGACGAAAATCCTTATGCTTTTGCTTTTAAATTTATCTCGTCAACATTAATTTTTGATTTTCTTAAACCATAAATTATTCATCAAAATAAAACTCTCAAGTTTGAATTTAAAAAGTAACTTTTTATTTATTGTAAATCTTGTTCATTGAAAGGAGATAAATTATGTGTTAATTTATAATGATGATTAAAAATTCATAGTTATTTGATTACATTATGAATAATAGTAATTGAAAATAAAATATCTATTAAATATTTGATAAATTGTAACAAGATTTATATCTTTTAAAAAAATTAACAGTTCAATAGCTAATGAAAAAAATAGCTCTTAATTTCTTCTTAATTTAATAATTTATTTCACACTCAATAATAAGATGAGGTAAAATTAATTTTTGGATATTGATTGATTCCCTCCCTGGTTAATTGCCTTTTAGTCTGTAATCAGGAAATTTAATTTTTTTGTCTTAAATATTTTTGAATTATTTACATTAATTTAAATAGAAAAATATCAAATTTTTTTGTTAAACTGGATAGAAATTGATTAATGCTGAATAAAATTTTTTAATTTTATTTTATTATTTTACTGTTCAGTTTTAATCAAATATTTATTTGGATTATAAATATTATAATTGAGTTTTTATTCTAATCTTTTTAGAAGGGAGACTGCCTACCTGACCAAAAATTAAAAGTTTTATTTTCAATTTATTCTATTCAGATTTTAACATTTATTTTATAAAACAAACAAATTTATTCACCTAAAATAATTACTTAATTTTATTCCTATTCATATTAGAATATACTTTAACTATTAATTCATTTATTTTTTACTCATCAGTTTGAATAAAATAAATGTATTTTTGCAATCAAAATATTATAATTGAATAAATTATTTAATCAAAAAATTTTTTTAGAAGGGACGAGCGCCTCTACCTGCCTTAAAAAAAATGAAATAAATATCATATTTCCAATTTTTTTCTATTCAGATATTAACAATTATTAATTTATAGAACAAATAATATTTCAATATAAAATAACTAATTAATTTTTACTCCTGTTCATTCAAATAAGAATATTATTTTGTTATTAGTTCATTAAATTTTTTAATTTCATTTTATTATTTTTACTATTCAGTATTAATCAATTTTTTACTTGCAAAAAAATAATATAATTGAGGAAATAGTTTAATCAGAAAATTTTTTAGAAGGGAGACTGACTGACTGACTACCTGATCAAAAATTAAATTTATTATTTTCAATTTATTCTATTCAGATTTTAACAATTATTAATTAAAAGTGCAAATCATTTTTAATCTAAAATAACTAAATACTTTATACTATTGTTTAAATAAGTCTATTATTTAGTTATCAATTAATAAATTTAGGTATTTAAAGAACAAAGATGGATTAAATTAAATACTTAATTAAAGTATACATGTTAGTTAGTTTTATTCTTTCATTAATCTAAATTTTAAGCTAAGCAATAAGCAAGCTAGATTAATAAGTTAGTTAATTAATTTAATTTTAATACTTCTATTATTCTGCCTGTATCCAACCTTTAAAAGTATTTCAAACAAAAATAAATAAAAAACTAGCTTGTTTAAATATTTTTTATATAATTATGAGTTCTATTTCTATTATTTATTTTTTGTAAGTGTGTTCAAGTGAAAAATAATGATTTCCAAATTAGATAGAGAGATTTAGAAATTTATAATATTACCAATTTCTTATTTTTTATTTTATACTATTTTTTCTCAAAACTTAAATAGTAGAACAGCAAAATTTAAAGAAATCAAATACAGGAAATATTTCTAAGCTGGGCTCGCCTCTATGGTATAAAAAAATTCCTCAAAATATACAGTGCATAGTTTAGAGAAGATTTTATTATGAAAAAATTTCACTTTGGATAAAACTTTTGCCCATATTTTAGGCGAATTCAATTTATAAGGGTGCCAAGTTTGGTTTTACATATTTTACTGTGAAAAATTTTTAAATCAAATTAAAACATTTTTTTAAAAAATTTAAATATTATTATTACTATTTATTAAAAATGAATGATACCTCTCTCTTCAGTCTTGTTTAAAACTAATATAATTATAAATTTTCAAATGCATATTCTCTGTTTCTGTGAGAAATTATGTGTTGAGATAAAAGAATACAAAAGTATTTTAATTAAATTATTAATTTTTATTAAAGCAATTTACTTTAAGTTCTATTTAAGTTTCCAGTTAAATCAAATATTTTTATTTTAAAATAATTTATATTTAAATATCAACAAATAAAATCTAAGTATTTTTTTGATTCTTTAAAATATTTATTAATAAATTCTTTAAAAAAAACAAGTAAGCTTTGGTGAAAAGATATATTTATAGATTTTTGGTAATAATATTAGGAAAAGTCAGCAATTTAAGAGAAAGAAACAGACACTTTAGAAAAATAAAAGAAAGAGACAAATCTAATATCCCTACCATCTATTTTAAAAGGCTTTATTAAAATTAAAATTTTGATATAAATTTACAAGTAAAATTGGAAGAATTATAATATAAATAAATTAAAAATTAATTGATTTAATTTCTTAATATAAATTTGATTCAAAACATATCAAAAATTAATAGTAGAAATAATTAAATGACTAGTAAGATAGCAGGTGTTTATGACGAAGTAGAAATCGAAGATTTAGATTTCGATGAGGAAACTGGCATTTTCACTTATCCTTGTCCCTGCGGAGACAAATTTTAAATTACTCTAGTAGATTATCAAAATATTCAAATTAATTTATGTAAGTTAATTATTATTTTATGTAAAATTAATTAGGACATGATAAAAGCAAAAATGGACATTGGAACTTGTCCAAGCTGTTCTTTAACTATCAGAGTTATTTTTGATGAGGTATTTTGGATATATATTTGGATTAGTTCCTAATATAACTATTTATATTTAATTATCAATAGGATTCTTACAAGGAATATGAATAGCTCATGGAAGATTTTAAGAATTCATAATGAACATATTAATTAATGTAAAAAGAAAGTAAAAATTAAGATGTTAAAAAGAAACCTGTAAATTAGTAGAAATGTAAATAAATATGAGTAAAACAAAATAGTTTAATTTAGTTAGTAAATAAAAACCATGCAAAAAAAATAACCAATTAGTCAATTATAATTATAAACAAACAAATAAATAATACATAGCTCTAATTATATTTATTTATACCTTTATATTTTATGCTTCTAAGTAATTATTCTTTTCAAAACTTATTATATTAATTAACCTTCCACAAAAATATTTATCTATCTTAAAATCTATGTATCTACCTTCCTACCTACCTATTAAATTAATGAATGCATTAATCAATTATTACTTAAATGAATTATAAAATCAATAATTCAATATTTCTACTTTTTAAATATAATAAATTGTTTTAAATAAAATTCCATTTTGTTTTATGTTTAAAAAATAAATCATTTATTTAATTCAAATATTGTCATTAAAGAAAAAAAATGATAAAAATCCTAAAAATAAGCTCAATAAGATAAATTAGTATTTTATATTATCGAAATTGAATGTTAATTTATGAATGAAAATTTGTTAAAGACACAAAAATTTATAAATATATAATTTTACTGATTTATCTATACCCTTTATCACAAATCTTTGATCAAACTTAATCTTATTTAGTTAGTTAGCTAGTTAGGTATGTAAATTTTGATTAATAATTATTCTAATAGAAAAAATTAAACACATGCATAAGTATATAAAAAAGAGAGATTTTATTCAAATTTTGTTGTTTTGATGTAAAAAGTATCTTTTATTTGTAAAAATTAAAGCAACATACAAAAAAACAAAAAGGATTTTTATTTTTAAATGATATTTATTTCAAAGAGTTGAATCAGAATTCCATACAGAAGTTGGCCCGTAGATAACGAATGATTTGTTGTATCTATCGGAATTCAAATAGTCTTATATTTAGGGTAAATTCTAGATTCTGTAGTAGTGACTACGAAGATTTGGAAAAACATCAAAGACATTTTCTTCTTTAAATATTTTATGAGCGATGAACATAAGCTCATAAAGGTAGAAGTCATAATAGCAAATTTTACCATTATTGATATACTCCTTATTATTTAAATAATTATTTAATTAGCCAAAGGGGACTGAGAATCTTTAGAAGTTTGCTTTTAATTCTTCTTTGTATTTAGGGCTATAAGCAAGCTGTCCAATCAAGTATATATTTTCATTTACAATCCCTCTGATTCTAGCAATATTGATTCTGTCCTCAATGGTTGTGCCAATCATGTCTTCTCTGTTAGCTTTTACACAAACGTATTGAGCTATTGCATCTGACTCTGTTAAAACATAGTCTCCATCTTTAAGATAGGGTAAATTAGGGAAATCAGACTAAAGAGCAGGTTTGTCAACTTACTTCCACTAATTATAGCTAGAAAGATCGTATCCCTTATAGGTGTAAGGTAATTATAGATAATTTAAGAGCATTCTGATAGGCTCAGTTCTACCTCTTAAGTTCCAATAGCTTAAAATTAAATTGCTCATTTCTTTACAAATTGTTGTAATTTTTAAAAGTTTTTTGAGTTTTGAATAGATATTTTTATATATATTTTGTGATAATTAAATTACCAATTAATTAATTTATTTGAAATATGCATATTCATAGATAAATAAAATTTTTACATTTACTATCAACCACAAAAATAAATCCTAATTCTTCTAATATCAAAACAATTTCTGCTTAAAACTGTTATTAAAATAGAAATAGAGGATACTATTTTGTGCGAATGTTCTAAAGAAAGTATTTCATAATAAATCCCAAAATAACTTAAGATATTTAAAAATAATTTATAATTATAAATTTTTAGACAGTTCAACCTAATAAGGAATCCTTTCAAAAAAATTGATATTTACCATACAAAAGGATTAAATATTTATTTAATCAAATAGAATCATCCTTCTTGCATTTTGCATTGATTTTACTATTATAGAAAGGAAAAATTGATTTCTTTAGAAAATTCTAAAGTAGAATTAATGTTATTCATAATTTTAAAATAGATAAAAAAAGCTTAATTTCAAAATTTTAAAACTTAAAATAAAAGTAACAAAAATATATTTTATATACATCAGAAAAAAAACTAATAAACTAAATAATTAAATTTTAATAAGAATTTTTAATATGTATGGAGAAAAATTAAGATAAAATAATATTTAAATTTTCAATGGAGATTCAAGAAGCTCTGCAAGAAAAATAAAAAAATTAATATTCAAAACAAACTAAAATAAAAACTTTTTTTATTTAAATTAGAAATAAGCTAAGAAAATCATAGTATTATTGATAATTTATTCATTTGAGTGTTTATAAAATAAAAAAACTATTTTTTTAATTATATGTATCCATAAATTATTTAGCATGTTCAATATGTTTTAATCTATATTATTATAATTTTTTACATGTTTTTACTTTGGTTTTATCAACAAATTTCTCACACAAAAAATAAAAAATAATTTTATTTTAAGAAATTTTTATATGACTTGATTGTTAGTTAAATCTTTTTAAATAAATTGAAATTAATGTTATAATTAATATAATAAACGAATGCTTGGCTGTTTGTATAAAAAGTAATTATTATCAACAGAAATACAAAGTCTATTTATCTTTTCTATTTAAATGATTAAATTCAAAAAAATAATTGGTGTTTGATATCTTAAATTAGTTTTGAATTGTTTTTTTTTCAGAAGCGCTAAATCAACTATAAAAAATATATTATCGGATACATTATTAATAATTAGAGTTTATAAATTAGATGAGCAGCAGTAAGTAATAGCATAAGAAAAAAGCACTTTCTACCTTGTAAAATCATAGGGTTTAGTGCCATCCTTCATATGAAAACACCTACAGAGATGAAAATATTGAAGTTAATAAAGAAAATAAAAAAGATTAAAACTATTTGATTTAATAGCAGTAGATATAATAGAATCAGTTAAGAAAACATAGTTTTAGTAAGGGAAGAGAACAAAGCTATAATTAAATACAAATGAAATAAGAATAAAATGAAAAATACAGCTATAGATAGTTATCGTAAAACTAATCTGTAGATTAGATACCATAAAAAATATAATGTAGTGTAACAGATACAACAACTGAAATCAAATGGAAAGAGCTATAAGAAATGGACGAAGAAGAAATGTATATTGAAAGGCTTCGCTAATAAAGGAAAAAAGTAAATTTTAAAGTAAAATGGCTTATTTAAGTAAATACTTTGTCTGTAAATCTAATAGATAGATGAAATAAAAGGAGAATTTGTATAAAAAATTGATTATTACAACGAATTAGAAATTAAATTAAAAGAGTTAGCCAAATATAAACCGTATTTTGAGAAATACAATCAACTCAAAAAAATTATGGAGTAAACATTAGAAAAAGTAAAATTTATTTAATAATTAGCAAAGTAAATAATATTATTTTTAACTTTAAATAGCTTGACAAAAGAGAAACTGATTACAAGTGCTAAAAAGAATAGAATAATTTACTGAAAGCATAAATAAAAGAATTACAAGAAAAAAATGCTGATGGAAAAAAAGATAATTTGTAATTACTTGAAGATATAGAATAAAGAAAAATTCAAAATAGCTAACTTCAAAATCAAATCAGAAGCATGATTGCAAAAGAAAATGAAATTTAATATTAATTGAAAGCATAGCAAGATAAATTTGAAAGTTTGGACTAACTTTTCAAATGTAAACCATTTTTATTTTAAATTAAATTTTAATTTAATAAATTCAATAAAATTCTAAATTTAGTTGATTAAAAGATAATTTATATTAGAAAAATAATCAAAAATACCTTTTCATTTGTTTATTTTATATTAAATATTTTTATTGAAAATTTAATAAAATGATTGATTTATTTTAAATTGCACATATTATTTAATATAGAATAGATGACTTAGACAAAAATTGAAAATATAAAACTATTTGACAATTTGAATATAATCAAATAGCTTAACGAACAAATTATAATATTAAAATCTTCAAAAGAAGAGTCAAATGTCAATAACCAAAGACTTTAGTAATAGGTAAAATTTTTATAATTTACTATTTAAATATAAATTTTAATCTAATAAATAATATAGATTATTGAATAGTAAGAAGAAATAAATAAAATAAAAGATGAAAAAGCAATAATTTTAAAGGAGCTTTAAAGAAAAACTTCAGAAATTGATGATTTGAAGGTGAAATTCTAGGAGTTAGAGTACAACTAGATTATGATAAATGGTTGCTTTATTTCTTAATTTGTTTTCTGTCTTTTAAATAATTTTTTATAATAGCAAAGAAATCAATAATGCAAGAGGAATTTGAGCAAAAGAGAGCTCTAAACGATAACAATTTAGAAGAATTCAAATTTATAATTAATGAATAAGAAGAAGAACTAAAGAAGTCAAGAACCTTAAACCAGTAAATTTTAATACAGAATTTTAGCAATTAATTTAAAGAAATTAATTATTTCAAGAATCTTGAATGATAATATAAATTTGATTTTAACATCTTTAATTTATTTATTTATAAATAGGTTATTGAGTGTTGAATATGACACAGCTGTAAAAAAAATTAAGGAGTTTGAGTAAGAAATTTGGGAATACAGAAAAGAAAATCACAATTTGAAAGTAAAGCTGAGCAATATCCTTTAGGGTAAGGGAGAATTAATTATTCCTAATCAGAAGCTAGTCAAAGAAGAGCTTGACCAATTGGAAAAAGACATATTTAGCTTTAAGAAAGCCTAAATGATAAAGTAATAAAATGAATAATAAGCTAAAAATTATGATTATAAAAACAGTAATAATAATAATAAAAATAATATAATACCTTCTTCTGATGATGGAAACAGCAGTGAGGCTCTTTACAGCTATGCGAATAGGATTTAAAACTAGCCTACCTAAGATAGCTGCTATAATCTAAGTAATGCGAATTGCAATACAAGTAAGAGCAATAATAATAATAATAATAATAACTATTATAACATTGAAACTGATAAATATAATTCTTCAAATGCATAGCTGTATTCTAATTATTCTGAATAGCCCCAGTTCTAAAATAATCTAAATAATAGTCACTTTTCCAATCATAACTATAATCAATTTTGATATTAGTAATAAATAACCAACAAATTAAAAGATAAAACCTAATTAATTAATTTCTCCACAAAATCAATATAAATTAACATAAAAATTCAAGTAATTTATAATTAAAACATACTTTATTAATAATATATTTTTTTTGCTTTCGAGCTTTATTTTTACACTTATCTTAAATCATTTATATTCCTATCAAAGTAACCTTAAATAATTAATTAATTCTTTCAAAACGAATTATCAGATTGTTTTTAATTTCTCTCTAACTAACAAAATTTCTTTAATATTTTTGAAAAATAATATCTTTTTCTTGAAAATATTTGACACATTTTAAACATATTTATTTATTTTTCATTTATAATGGGTGGATGGAACTAACATTTTTCACTTTAATTATTTTTAAATTTGAATGAAACTTGGAGTTATAACCTTAAAAAGCTTGTGAAAAATTTCAGTTCCACCCCATAAAATATATTAAAAAAAGTTAATAAATTTATATTTATTTATATTTTATTGCTTTATTACTTTTTATTTGATATTTATTTTAAAAAATAATTTTCCTTTAATTAAAATCTTTCACTTTTAGTATAAGAATTTAAATATATCCAATTATTTAAAGTGAGATATATATCTTGTTTATTTATTTTTTTGTAATTTCTTTTTGATTATTTAATTATGAATTATTGGTAGAATTAGATAAATTTCAAGCTTTTTCACTACAATCACATAGTTACAATGGTTTCAAAAATTATTTCTGTTATATAATTCAATCTATAAGCAAAGCATAATAAAAAACCATTAGATATATTTGATTTTTGTTTAATTAATAGTGCTATGGAATTTAATATTCAGTTAACTTTTAAAAATTGATATATTTATTTATTTGTGATATTTATATTATCAAAATAATATGCATAGTTCGAACCATTTCTTTAACTAAATAATTAATAAACTTGCATTAGAATTTTATTACATTTTGAGCTATTACTTAGATTCTTTTTTAATTAATTAATTAGTTAACAATGAGTTTCTAAAACAAGTAATATGAATAATATATGTTCAGTAAAATCATCATAGTAACTAGAAGCTAGAATTTTTCAAGAATTTTATTTTGAGCATTTAATAATCGATCGTTTAATTATTATTATTTTGATGAAGTAATAACTTAGTTAATTTAGATACATATTTAGTAATAGGATTTATTTATAAATAATTTTCATATTTGAAAAAATCTTAAGTTAAAAAATACAGAAATTTGTGTAATCACTTTTAAGTGGATGTATTAAAATTACATTAGGCATAAAATATAACAACCATAATACTGCTTAAATTTAGGGAGAAGGTAACATAAATAGACATAAGATAAAATTGTAAAGTAATAAATTATGATAATTTTATATAGAATTTATGATATGTAACTCTACTTAAAATTAGTGTATATTTTAGTAGGTGCATTTATTTATTTATGTGGAAAGCTTGATTGGTTTTAAGTAAGAAAATAATAAATGATCATTCGAATTGATCTGATACATTTAGATTAGAACAGGAAAATAAATAAATAAATTAATTGATTATGAACACAAATCAAAACTGATTGATATAATTAATTTCTTATACTGTTCTATGATTCTAAATAAAAGGAGATCATAAATTAATTTGTTTGTTTTTAGTTTATTTATGGTAACAGTTTTTCTATTGATTAATAAAGAAATAAATAAATTAATTTATTTTAGAATTCTTTGGTAAATTTTTATTAATATTTAACATTGGCTGATCAATAAATAAATAAGTATGTATATATATGCATCAAGGTAATTCGATTATGTATTTTATTATTTTTGCTAATTCATAAAAGGTCTTTCTTTTAGTTTTTGCTTGATATTTTAGGCTGACTGTCAGACAAGACAGACAGGCAGACATAAAGACATATATATATATAATCAATCATTCAGACATTCAAAAGCAATAAAAATTACAAAAATAAAAGAAGAAATAAAGAAACTAACTCAATAATAATAAAAACAAAAATTAAAGAAAATTTAATTAGCTAATAAATAAATTAAGAAACAAACAAAAACAAATGTCAGTACAAAGCGAGTAGGGTAAGAAATATTTATCAACAAAGGTCACTCCCATCTTTGAAAAGTTGGTTGTTGAGTTAGTCAAGAAGTAGCCTGAATAAGTCGTAAGCAAGACTTCTATTTTTTATTTTAATTAGGCGCTTTTCAAAAAATCATTTAAATTTATTGAGTTTTCATATTTCAATCACTCAAATAATATATTTGTATGTATGTATGAATTTAAAACTCTGATTGACAGCTGGAGTTATTATTCATACAACGCCAATTAAATAAGCCTTTTGCTTTATTTATATTTTTTCTAAAATTATTTTTTTCATTTATCCTAAAAGGTTCCCTTTATGATTTAATGGCTCACTCAAAATTAGTGTAATTTATTATTTATAATTCCCTTTTTCACTCACTCATTTATAAAATGCAAACCTATAAACTCAATTACTCCAACAGTATGATTCCTTCTTCAACACATTGTTTATTGCCATTATAGGCAAATCATAGCAGGTAATATTCAGGCCATTTAAATAGAAAAGATTGCTCTAAAGCATTCATCTGATTATACACAAAAAAAGAAGATTTATGCTTTATACAATAGTTTTTTACTGATTTAGCAAGTTGGTGAAGATTTCATATAAAAACCTATTTCTACTCTTTCCATAAACAACTTAAAAAATAAAAAAAATTAAATTTAAAGCTTCAAAAACAAATAAATGGAGGCTTTAATATGGCTCTAAATTTGAATTTTCATCAAAGTTTGGAAAAATATAGTTTTTTATCCAAAAAATCAAGGTTTGTTGGAGTAAAAGCAATATTTCATTTGTGAGTGTTTTTATAAGGCATTTCAATATCAACTATTTTTTATATTATATATAGCCCATTTAGAAGGAGGTCATCACCACCACCATCACGTAAAAAAAATTACAATTAACATTGAACTGAAAAGATAAAAAATAAATAAAAGAAGCAAACAGTAAAGAAAAAGTTAGCTTTAATTTTGAAAATCCAACAGCTTGATTCTAAATAGTTAAAAGGTTTATTGATGTTTTTTGTTTGAAAAATAGGAACATAGCCAAAACGAAAGTGCTAGTGATAGCGACGACGAGTCTGTAGAAGATTTAGTTGATCCTTAAATTTTAATTAAGCAAAAGTAAGGAAAAACTATGCGTACTTCAGTCTCTGCTGAAGCTTATGGTCAATACAATCAAAAATCAGCATTTGTAGCTAAAAACATTCCCAAAAATGCCAATCAAGTTCTAAGAATAAAGCAACGTTTATCCTAAGCCTTCATGTTCCAAAGCTTGGACGAAAATGAACAAAGAGTAGTCATCGGTGCCATGGAAGAAAAGAAATTCAAGTATTTTATTAATAACATAAAATTTAGTCTATTAATTTTGAATAGAGATTTTGGTATCCAAAAAAGTTATAAAAAGTAAAAAAGTTCTCTTAAAAAAAGAAAGAAAGATAGATAGATAGAAGATCTGAATGATATTAGTTAGATTATTTATTTATTTATTTACTTTATTTAAGCGTTATTGCCTAAATAAATTATAAATTAATATCAATAAGCAAAAAACTAATAAATTAATTGGCTGATTGATTAATTTAATTTTTTTATTACTTAATTATTTATTTGATGATAATTAAGATAATTAATAAATAAAAAAAATACATTCAATCAATCACTCAGTCAACATATTTATTTTTAAATAGCATTTACTTTCATTCATTTTTTAAAACAAACGAGATGTAAATTGTAAATAAATTTTATTTCGCTGGATTTTAATGTTTGCATAAGAAATAAATACCTGAATGAATTCACTTTCCAGTTTTTAAAAAATAGCATGGCATAATTAAATAATAAAACAAGAAAGCAAGATTTTTTATTTATTTTTGATTTAAAGACTTAGTGAAAATGTTAATTTAAATTTAAAAATTACTGAATCTATTATTTTTCCATCATTTTATTTATTCTTTTCCTAATTTTTGTTTTCTTGAAACCTTTATATCGATCAATCAATTGATTAATCTATCTATCTATCTTTTTATTTATTTATTAATCCATCAATTTTTTGAGAACTTTCCTAAATTAATAACTTAATTCACAACTTGATATTAAACAGACTAAAATTATCAAAATTTATTTCAACCTTACACAAAAAAAAATAAATAATTTCCTTTCTAAATTTTTGTTTTTTAATTTAAAAGGGCTGGAGAAACCATCATCAAATAAGGAGACGATGGTGATGAGCTTTACGTTGTCGATAGCGGATTATTAGATTGCTACAAGGAAAAAGCCAACCAAGAAAAAATTCTTTTAAAAACCTATAAGGAGGGTGAAGCTTTCGGTAATTTAAAATTAAAAATTTTTACTTTATAGATTTTTTTTTATTTTCTATTTAATCATAAAAAATTCTATTTAATTTTGGATGATTAATTAATTAATTATTAATTGTATTTTTGTAAATTTAAAGGTGAACTTGCTCTATTATACAACGCTCCTAGAGCAGCTACTATTATTGCAAAGACTGATTGTATTCTTTTCTCATTAGACAGACCTACTTTCAATCATATTGTTAAGGTATTAAATATATTTCAAATAACCTTATAACTTAAAATAAAATAATTATTAGGATGCTGCCGCTAAGAAGAGAGAAAAATATGAAGCTTTCCTTTCTAAAGTTGAAATTCTCCACGATATGATTCCCTACGAAAGATTACAAATTGCTGATGCACTTCACTCCCACAAGTTCTCTAAAGGTGATTACATCGTTAAAGAAGTAATATTCTATTTAATGACACACAAACAAAAATAAATATTTCATTTAATTAAAAAAGGGAGAAAACGGTAACTCTTTCTTTATATTAGAAGAAGGTATCGCAGTAGCTACTAAGGTCATGCAAGGTAAAATAATACATTTACAATAAAAAAGTGCTAAATTATGTTTCGTTTTTATAATAAAACAGCCGGATAAGCTCCCGTCAAAGTTTATGAATACAAGAGTGGAGATTACTTTGGTGAAATTGCCTTGCTTAAAAATCAGACCAGAGCTGCTAATGTGATCGCTGAAGTAATTTATATATTCATGTTTAAGTTAACAAAGTAAATAAATAAATTTATTAAATAATTTAGAGCGACTGCACAGTAGTTTCAATGGACAGAGAATCTTTCAAGAGATTACTTGGTCCTCTTGAAGATATTTTAAGAAGAAATTTCCATAAGTACGAAAAATATATCAACTGAGATACACAAAAAATAATTTTAAAACGTTTAAATTAGAGATGAATAAGCTCAGTAATTGCAAATTCATCAAATTTTACGAATTTATTAACTCTAATTTAAGCAAAAACAAACAAACAAAACAAAACAGTTCTATATATTTTTTTTTACTTACTTACTTATTTGATAAATTGCTTGTGTGCTAGCTTCCTGCACTCATACACTGAAAATAAACAAATATGTTCATCGAGATTAAAATATATGAGCTTGCTGAGTGCTGCTATTGATAAACTAAAATCACTCAGCATTCACTCATAACCAGCAACATATCTTTCACTAATTTTTTGCTTAAACAGTAAAGGGCTCATTCAATTATTCACACACACACACATACATTCATTCATAAATAAATGGACAAACATCTTACAAATAAATTGCTAACTATGAACATGAACATACATACATTCATTCATTAATTGAAAAATACATAAATACATAAAGAAATAACTCAACAAATATTTGAATATACTAACTGATTTTTATTTTATTAATTTCTATATCTATATCTTATTGTTCTTATACCTTTTCCTAAAAATATTGTAATGAGCAGTCTTTTTACTTGATAATCTTATTCAAATTCCAATCTTTCTATTTATATGCAAATTATTTTATCAATCAATCTACCAATTAATCAATTAATAAGTGTTTCTTTATTCAGTTTTTGTTTTTCACCAAATAAATTTTTTATAATAAAATTTGTTGCTAATATCAAAAATTAAATATTATTGGTTTAAAATACAAAAAAAGCTAAGGCTTATTCATCAAAATTCATGTTAATTTAAAGTATATTTATTGTTTATTGCATGATACATTTAATAACTTATTAATGATGGACTTTGAAGTATGCGAAGAAAGTAAAAATAAAAAATATGATGAAGTGAGCAATTAAAAAATAATAAGATGAATACAGATAGTTAGTATATATAAAGATAGATATAGAAGTCAACAACAATAAGCAAAGGAGAAAACAAACTTAGAAAAAGAAATAAGAATAAAGAATGCATTGATTAGTGCAATTTTTATTTATTTATTTATTTTATAATTTTTTAGTGCGTGCGATTAATTTATTATTTAATTGTTTCATAAAAACCAACTAACTAACTAATTAATTAATTTAATTAATAAATAAATAAAGGAGTAGCAAGCATTGATCAATCAAATTTATTATAAGTCGTAAATTGCGAAGGTTTCACAATTAATTGCTATTGATAAATTTCGTAAAATTATTTGTTTCTTGGAGCAAGCTTTTTAAGTATTAGAAGAGCGCTTTGCATATTGTTGTCATTTAAACGATGTATTGATATTTATTTATTGTTTTATTTGTTTAAAGTAAATCAACATCAATGCAATCAATGGTTATCTTCGTTACCAACTTGCATTTCGAGTTCAGTAATTCTTCTTTGCAATCCCAAAAGTTATTATTGAAGAGCGGTCTTTTCACCCTTCAAAGAAGTAATTTACTATTGTAAACGAGCATTTTCAGCCTTTTGATGAGCGAAATGTCTCTTCATTTCTTCTTCGATTCTCATTAATTCGCTTGTCAAAGTCTTCTTAACATCTTGGGTTTTCATAGAAAGGACAGATTATAATGTGTCCTTTTCACTCTTCAAGATTTAAACTTCCTTCTTGTGGAAATTCATTTCGTCAGCTATGTTTTTAATCATTTCCTGTTTTAAAAAACATTTTATTAGTTTTATATTTTTCTATATTGAGTTTAATAAACAAGAATTGCTTCGTTTTATTTAATTGTTTGTTTGTTTGTAAAAATATTTTAAGTACCAACTACAATCAACTATCTGTTTATTATCGCTATTATAAATGTGAAAATTTCAATTAATTTATTACTTCTAATGACATAAGCTTGCCCTTAAGAGAAGCAGGGTTGGTGCCAAAAGAGGATTGAGTATTGTTGAATCCCTTTTGAGTGTTATTGTATTGTTGATAGTCATCTTCAGGTCTAGAACCCTTTCCGTATTTTAATGAGCTGTTCATTTACTTTTTCAAAAATCTATATTTATCTTTTAATGTATTATTTTTTAACTATTTTTTATTATCAATAAATTGTATTTAATTAGTTCTTTAAAACTTATAAATCTCAATTTATTTTTGCTTTGATATTTGCAATATAAATATTATCTTCCTCAATTAAATTAATTAAAGCATCACGCTATTATTACCAAAAAATCACAAAAAACCTTCATTTTTCTTTAGTTCTTTCTATTTATTTACTTACTTGCTATTAATATGTTATCTAAGCATAATAAAACTAATCCATAACACTCAGAATGCTATAATACTAACTAACTTATGAAAATCATTTATAAAATTTTAAAAGATATTTGGAAAATAATAAATAAATACATAAAATATACACTTAATAATGTTTATTTATTTTTGTGATCAATTTTTAAAAACAAAAATATTATTTTAGTTCATTAATTTCAAATAAAATCTATAAATAAATATTTCAAACAATTTAGATTGCTTATTTTTTTTGCATCAAGCTGAAATTTAAAAATGATAAGTTTAGATAGATTTAGTTTTTTATTTAACTTATTGCTGGCATATTCCTTCCTTCTGTCTATTTTCTATTCGTTCATTCCTTTCTTTATACCTTTTTGCTATTTTCAAATAAAAATGTAAATTTATAGGTTAAAAAAACCATTTTTAATTTTAATTTTTTATAGTAAGTACAAAGCCCTTTTGATAGTAAAAATATCAATATTTACTATAAACATTATTTGATAAATTTAAAAATTCTATATCTTTAGAGATAAAAAACAAAAAAAAATAAATAATTTTTGACATTCTATTATCAAAACAAATAATGAACTTTTTATGTTTGATCCTTTAAATTGATTCTTATTATAGATGATTTATTTATATTTATATTAATTAATAAAACAATTAAAAAAAATATGTTCATTTTTTAATCTAATAAAAGTCTATTCGCTTTTCTAAAGCAATAAGCAAAATTATAAATAA